ACCAACCTCGATACTGACCAAATTCAGGGCTGCTCGCGATTCTTCTGCATTGCTCTGTGATGCTCCTCCAGTTGTCTGCTCACGGCAGCTCGCCCCGGGGGTCGACCCTGAACGGCACTGAGGATGTGCGACAGGGGTCTGTCACGGAAGCTGTGCTTCGCAAACTCTCTCCACATCGCTGGGACTAGGAGGAGGAGGAGGAGAAGGAGGAGGAAAAGTAGAATGATGAGGAAGAGGAGGACGAGGAGAGGACGAGGACGAAGAGGAGGATGCGGAGGACGAGGAGGAGGACGAGGACGAGGGAAATCGCCCCCTCCAACACACACGGGAGACCCACCCTCCGACGAGAACCCCCCCCGTTAACCTCCCTCCTCCGGAAAGTCGGTGGGGGGAGTTTGACTCTCCTGCTCCTCCTCGTCCTCCTCCTCCACGGACTTGCACGACGACGACAATGACGACGACGGTGGCGACGACGACGACGACGAAGCTTATGCGGACGACGCCGCCGCCGACGACAACGAAGAAGCGAAGACCGACGAGCAACGGCGACGCGGACGAGGGTAGGACACTGAAGGCGTCGTGCGGCGGGCGGGAAGGATGGTATAGCCGGCAGGTCTTCCGAGCGGGCGAGACACCGAAGCGAGCGGGCGGGCGGCACTTGAGGGCAGGCGGGTTGGCCGCGGGACACTGAATGGAAATTTCGTTTGGTGACGGGGCGAGGTCAGTGGCCAGGGTATGGTTGTGCCGGAACTGCTGTACAATCTGGAGCCATTGTGACTATTGCAAGCAGACCGGCAACGGTTAGACAGCTTCCAAACATTTAGTTTTCGGAAGCATTGGGGATCTCACACTCAGAAAACTCCAGGGTGTCGGATGCCAGAGTTCTGAGTACAGCGCGGGCGGATCGTCTGAGCCAGGCACTGCGCAAGATGCAGGCGCAGTCCTATGAGAAAACCTGTTCTTTACCAGGAACAACTATTTGAGAACCTTGGTATGCCAGCCTGGGTTAAATCCACCAACGCAGTGGCATTCGGTCCGGAGACGCGGACGCCCCAGGCTAAAATGGGCCCACTGCGTGTACAGGCTATTACAGTGAAACGTGGAATCGGCAGTCCATATTCCCCCTCGTCGTCGTCCTCCTGCTCCTTCTGCTTCAGTCGGGCGCTCCGTATTTCTGATTCGCAGTCCGAGTGAATTCTGTGTTTCTGCCTCTGGTTCACAGTCGAGTCAACGCGCCGTCTCCCTTGATTGCGCACTCTTTTTTCCCACGCGTCCAGCCGGAAACCCAGATCAGTGACGGCAGTGGTGCCCCAGCGCCGTGCCTAGGGCTGGCGCATGGCTTCTGTACTGTGCTGTACCGAAGTGGGGGTGGAACGCCACTGGCGCCTTCGGTGGAGCTTCCTATAGGGCCATGAAACGTGTGAGGGGCGTGCCGAAATCGAGGTGGAACCGCATGCGAACCCTGCCACTGGGGCCTTCGGTGGAGCTGCCCATAGGGACACGAACGTGTGAGGGGTGTACCGAAATGGGGGTGGAACCGCATGCGAACCCTGCCACTGGTGCATTCGGCGGGGAGAATTCACGCCCCCCCAGGGCGACTGGGTTTCTCACGCGGATCGTGTCCCAGTGGGAGCTCCACCAACAGTCCGAAAGCCAACGTGCGTATGCCGCACTCCCGCCCATGGCGATGCACCCCTGACCTCGACTGTGAGTTCGGGGTGTTTTGGTCACTTCCAGGCACCCCGCAGCATGTTTCTGTGGAGCCTCGGGAAACCCTGAAATGAATCTTGCAGGACGTAGACTCGAGACCTCCCATACGCTGATGGGGGCCTACTTGGACGCCTCCCGGGAGCCTTTTGGAAGCATTGTGGGAATCCCTGGGACCTCTCCGGGCCTTCCTGGGGGGTCCTTTTGGTTTTTTGTGTCCCGTCTACGGGCCCCTTTCGGCCGTCCCGGGTCCCTCTTGGCCCGTTATAGGGGGGCTGAGCCCGTTTTGGGGTCCTTTTCAGGGCCCTCTCCGACCATGTAGGGATCCCCCAGTGGCCCCCTCCTGGCTCCCTGGGGACTCTCCTGGGCCGTCTTGCAGCTCTCGTGCTGCTTGACGCTCTCTTCAAGCCGTCTTGGAGCCCTCTTAAGCGCCTCTTGGGCCGTCTGGGGCCGATTGGGGGGCCTTTGGGGCTGTCGTGGCCGCTGTTAGGACTGTAAAAACGAATATCCAGATAATGAACGTTTTTCCATAGGAACTGTTTGATTGTAGTGGCCTCCGGCCAGTGCCGCCGATCCGGGGCGCTCTGGATGATGATGATCATGATCATGATGATTATGATGATGATGATGATGATGATGATGATGATGATGATGATGATGATGATGCTGATGATGCTGATGCTGATGCTGATGCTGATGGATGATGGATGATGGATGATGGTGGTGATGATGATGATGATGATGATGATGATGGTGATGGTGATGATGTGATGATGGTGATGATGATGATTGATGATGATGATGATGATGATGATGTGACGGTGATGGTGATGGTGATGGATGACGATGGATGGAGATGACGATGATGTGATCCCGGCCCCCCCCCCCCCACCCCACCCCCTCTCCTCTCTCCTGTCCCCCCCCCCCTCTCTTGTCCTCCCCCTCTCTCTGCCCCCCCCCCTCCACCCTCCTCCCTCTCCCCCCCCCCTCTCTCCTGTCCCCCCCTCCCCTCTTCTGTCCCCCCACACCCCCCCCCTCTCCACTTCCCCCCCCTCTCTCCTGACCCCCCCCCCCCTGGGGGCTGCAGGGTGGGAGGGGTGCCGAGCACTTATAATTTCGTAGGTAATCACGTCCCCCCCCCTCCCCCCCCACCCAAGCAGAGAGCTAAAAGCATGCTGCTGAAGAGAGCTCAGCAGCTCACTTCTTCTCAACTCACACGCCGGATCGGGGATTTTTGTTGCCCTTGGGGGGGCTCTCTCGGTGGCCTCTTGGACCGTCTTGAGGGCCCTTGTGGCCGTCTGGGAGCAGTCTTGGGCTGTCTTGGAGCGCTCGCGGGCCGTCGTGGGGCCATCGTAGTGCGCTCTTTAGCCATCTTCCAAGCCACCTGGGGGGGCGCTTTGGGAGCATCTTGGGCCGGGCCTCGGGGGGGGGGGTCCGGGGCCCGTTCTGGGCCCTCGTGGAGCTCTCTCAAGGCCCCCCTGGGCCGCCATGCAAACCAGCTGGGGTTGTGTGGTTGCGGGCCCCCCGGCCTACTCCAATACGTATTTGTACACATGCAAATCTACATATGAATATGTCTATGTACATATGGCTATATATATATATATATCGACATGTGTGCTTGCACTTATACGCGAAAAAAGCATACTCGAAATCCTCCATGATATTTTGCTAACTTGTTATTCCTATCAAACGTTTACGTGCTAGGACCTTCTATGGGCGAGTCTGGCAGGCAACGCTTGATCATGTAGGAAGGTCCCCCTACTGATGGATGTGTCACCGTCTCTGAACCACTCCTCTCTCAGTTCTTCCTACTTGGAGCGCGTGCGCTATCCTTTTTCTCTGATGCGCAACGCCAAGGCCACTCTCCCTCCCTTTCTCTCCCGTTCTCCTGTTTCATTATTATATGGAGGGGATGGCCATGGAAGCACACATGCATACACAGCCAACGTTTTGTATTTAGTCCACCCAAATTTCAGAACGACGCGGCCCGCGCAGCTCTCGACCCTATTCCCGAAAGGAACCCTTTCTTCGTCGCGAGTAGATGTAGGATCCAGGGTTCCGGGCCCACCTCCATGCTGACGCCTTCGGGCCCACCCCCCGAGGATGGGTACCCCCCCTTGTGGACGAGGCGTAGGGAGGGGTGCTGGTGCCCCCCCTGCTTCTGTGGATGTGGGGTGGTCCTGCCGTGCCGTCGTCGTCGTCGTCGTCGTCGTCGTCGTCGTCGTCGTCGTCGTCGTCGTCGTCGTCGCCCTTCCATCAGGGGGGGGGCCCGAGGAATCCTGGGGTCCATCCCATCTGGGAGGGGAGTCTGAGAGCCTTCGACCTGGGATCAGATTCAAGCATACATGATCCAGGGTTGCCCCTCCTCCAATGCATATGCGATCGAGCCCGTCCCGCGCAGGAAGGGTGCGCCCATGAGCCTCGCGAGGGGCCTCGCGAATGGGATCGCTCCTACCCCTGAGGTCATGGCCCTGTAGACGTGGCGTGATTGAGGGTGCCGGTGCAACCCCCTTTCCTCCCCCTGTGGGTGTGGGGTAGGTCGTCGTCGTCGTCGGCGTCGGCGGCGTCGGCGTCGGCGTCGGCGTCGGCATCGGCGTCGGCGTCGGCATCGGCGTTGTCATCGTCGTCCCCCCCCCACCCATACCATCTGCGGGGGTCCTGTGGAATCCTGGGGCACATCCAATCTGGGGGGGGGGCGGCCTGTGTGACCCCTCGACCCAAGATCACATATGGCCCAAGCTTGAAGAATCCCGCAGTCCAGACTTGCCCACAGCGAGCAGGGCGGGCCTTCCGACGCACGGGCTGCATGCTTCGGCGGCGTGCAAGCAGGGGGGGGGGGGGGGGGGCGCCAAGGGGGGCCTGCCAAGGAAGGGCACGGGGCTGCTCAGAAGGGCCCGCGCGCTTCTGAGAACTCCCCTGCCGAATCACTGCCGGCATGGTTGGGGGGCGGAAAGATACGGATACGTGTTGTCCCCGGACCTCTCTTGGGGTGCGTTCTGACCAGAATTTCGAGGCGAATCCAGCGGTGACAACGAGGATTCCCCAGGAGGACCAGGAAAGGCCGAAAACGAAGGGGGACGACACGTATCCGTATCTTTTTCCCCCCCGACATGGGGGAGCGGGGGGGGTCCTGGCGGCAACGGGGCCCAGACGGCCGCGTCTCCTCGGTGACGGCCCATGGGCCCCCGGGCACGGCCCCGGGAGCCCGACGACGCCGGAGAGCCGCGGGGCCCGGGCCTTTCCCGCCGGACCCCCTCTCTTCCGTGGCGGGTGCGTTGGCGTCTGGGAGCCTGCTTGAAGTCCGCGACGGGTGCCTCCGAGGAGCCGATGCTCGACGCCGCGGCCACGTGCGCGGACGAGTCATCAGAGCGGAGCGGCAACACGAGCCTGGATGCCTCCGAGGAGGCGAGGCTCGACGCCGCGGCCACGATCGTGGACGAGTCGGAGCGGAGCGGCACCACGGGTCTGGGTGCCTCGGAAGAGGCGAGGCTCGACGCCGCGGCCACGTTCGCGGACGAGTCATCAGAGCGGCGCTGCACCACGAGCCTGGGTGCCTCGGAGGAGGCGAGGCTCGACGACGCGGCCACGTTCGCGGACGAGTCATCAGAGCGGCGCTGCACCACGAGCCTGGGTGCCTCGGAGGCGAGGCTCGACGCCGCGGCCACGTTCGTGGACGATTCGAAGAGGAGCGGCACTGGCACGGCATCGAAGGGGTCGGCGTTCCTGCGGGGCTGGCGCAGCGCAGTCCGGGGCCATTCTCCTCGTTGCCCCCTCCCGCGCGTCCACACACTACCGCCGTGCCCTGGCGTGGTATACGCGCCCTCCTTGCCGAGGGCAGCAACGTCTACACACCATCCTGCGGAACAGGATGGACGTGGCCAAGCATGGTGGCGATGTGTAAATGCTTTCTGCGGCTCTGACCTCCTCCCACCCGCGTCTCTCCTCCAGCCCCCCCCCCCCCACGTCCCTCACTGACCTCGGTGTTTCTTCCCTCATCCCTCCTTTCTTGCCCCCCTGCCACCCTCCCCCACCCTCCCCGCCGCCTTGCTACTAGAGACAGTGGCTAGTGAGTGCTCAGGGACACTTGGGGGTAATGTAGGGCGGTACTGAAGACGGAGAGGAGAACGTGATGGGGGCACTGCCAACCACCGTCTTTCCCGAGCTCCCAGGCTGAGCGTGAAAGCGGGAGAACGAGACTGGGGGGCGAGGCGCTGCCAGAGGGGCGAGCTGCGAGCTGGCGGAGTTGTAAAGGAATGGTGATGCTGATGATGATGATGACGACGACGATGGTGACGATGATGATAATAATGATGGTGGTGATGATGATGAGGAGGAGGCTGATGATCCGGGTGATGACGATGATGAAAATGATGCTGATGATGATGATGCTGATGATGCTGATGATGATGATGCTGATGATCATGATGATGATGATGATGATGATGATGATGAGGATGATGATGATGATGATGCGGAGGAGGAGGAGGAGGAGGAGGAGGAGCAAGATGAGGATGAGGATGCGGATGGGGAGGATGATGATGCTGCTGATGATGCTAATTATGATGATGCTGATGATGCTGATGCTGCTGATACTGATGTTGTTGCTACTGCTGCTGATGATGGAAATGACGAATGATGAATGGCGACGGCGGGTGATGATGGCGGATGATGATGGTGATAATGATGCTGATTATGATGATGATGATGATGATGATGATGATGATGATGATGATGATGATGATGATGATGATGAGGAGGAGGATGGTGATGACAATAATGGTGGGGATGGTGGTGCTGATGATGATTGTGATCCGGATCATGATGATGGTGATGCTGATGGTGATGCTGCTGCTGATGCTGATGATGATGATGATGATGATGATGATGATGATGATGATGATGACGCTGATGATTGTGGTGATGACTGTTGTGACGGCGATGGTGATGAGGATGAGGGTGAATGGGTAATGGCTGATGATGATGCTGATGCTGATAATGATGCAATTGCTGCTGCTTCTGATGATGGTAATGATGGCGATGATGATGCTCATTATGATGATGCTGATAATGGTGATGCTGCTGCTGATGTTGATGATGACGATGATGATGATGCTGCTGCTGCTGATGATGCAGATGATGATGCTGCTGCTGATGATGATGGTGATGATGGTGAGGATGCCGATGCTGATGCTGATGCTGTTGATGCTGTTGATGCTGCCGATGATCAGGTGGCCGGTTGCAGGGGTCGGGAACGGCACTCCCCTACCCTGCTGGGCCTCAACTCGTGCACGCCAGGA